TTGTTGTTTTATTTTTAAATAGGAGTCCACTGATGGAAGTTTCTTGCCCTCTTTCTTGCGTAGACCATACCTATAATCTTGATTTCTTTAAAGACAGATTTCCAGTCTTGATTCCTTTAAAGAGTCAAACTAGACTTCTGTGAAGCAATATAATTATATAATCTTTATAGATTTTTATGTTTTCCCCAAGTCTTTCACAATTGGCTTCCTCATATCTAGTTAACAGCATTTTTATTGTATTGTATTGTATTTTCTTAAGATATTAAGACAGGGTTTTTGCCATGTTGCCCAGGCTGGCATCAGACTTCTGGGCTCAAGCGATCCTGCCACTTCAGCTTCCTGAGCAGCTGGGACTATAGGTTTGTGCCACTGCTTTTTGCTTTTATTTTTTTTAATTTTTATTTTTTCTTTAATGCCAGGTGAGACATGAGAACAGCATTTTTGGCAACTCTTGTATTGAGGTTTCCAAAGCATTCGATTTGGTTTTCATAGAAACAAGTCTCATTTGCTACTCACATTTCATCTTTTTAAGATAATATTTAATTGAATCATGGATTGGAATAACTGTAACTAACACAAACATGTTCAAGAGTTAATACAACCAGTTTTTATAAGCATAGAGTAAATTAGTTAAGCTGATATCATTTAAGAGAGTTTTACTGTTAGTGTGAATCCCTTGAATTTCATGAAAAGTTAATTAAAACTGAACTGCAAATATTCTTTGTAGGTATATAGCTGTTGGATAAGAAGTAAGATCCAAGCTAAAAATGGGAGATTCAGAGGGGCTTCCAGCAAGTGGCCTTCACACTGGCAGAATCTGTACCCAAATCTTGTCATGGCAACAATTCTTCATCTCTGATTTCTTTCCTTCTTACTCATCTCCTAAATACCCATTGCTTTACTACACGTCACACATACATAAAAGGTTATCCAGTAGGATTGGGAAAGGTGGCAGCTCTGGCTCAGTTCATGCTCTCAAGTTCACTTTTATTGCTTAGCATCTAAGATCCCTAAGAAAACTTGTATTGCCTGCTTAGTTTACCTAAATTCTTCTCAATTTCTTCCCCTCCAAAAATTATAAAAATAAATATATCCATATTTGATATGTAAAGCTTCTTCTGGTCATATCTTTAGAAAAACAATTCACACAGTTCAATAAAAATATATTAAACACATATCAGAACAAGGCACTATTGGGGCTATAGCGATAAATATGCCTTGTAGGACCTTATAGTCAGATAGTGGTTATAACACATGAATTTAAATAACCACTATACAATACAGTATATCAGCTTCACATGTATAAACAATGACTTCTGCAGATGTTCAGAGAAGTAGGGGTGTCTCTATTTAGGATGACCACAGAAAACTAAAAAGAGGAGCCACTTGAACTGAGTCTTGAAAGATGAATGGACACTTAACAGTGAAGTGCCCACTTTGTGTGCTAGGTAGTATACCAAGATAATTTCGTAGATGCGGTACTTCCCGTGCAGTCATACTGTGTTAAGGTTAAAAGAGACCTGGGGGGTGGGAGGGAAAAGAGGATATCATGCAGCCTATTCCTGTTATCTGAGACTCTATCACAGGTCTCTAGATTCTGAGGATATCCGTTTAGGAATTTATAGTCCAATAGATAAATCTGATATGACAAGTCTAAAAAGAACACTTGGACAGAATAAAGTTAATTGATAAGACAACGAAGTATTTCCATCACACACATCTGTCAAAGATACGTGTACATTGTTAGGAGTGGTAGAAATAAAGTAGATAATGGCTGTGAAATGGGCAGAAATTACTTGAAGTAGTTCTGTGATCAGGCAGGGTAGAGGTCAGAGTATCTGATAATTCCCCCCTGCTTTTTGAGAAGGTCCTTGGTACCTCTAGTACTGGATTTTGATCCTTTCCTTTGCTCTGTAAAAGATATGGGAGAATTATAAGAATTGATAGATTAGAAGAACAAAGCCAAAGGCTGAAAAGCTATTATTCTTGATACATGTTAAATATTTGATAGTGTCAAATTAACATCAAACATTTTCCAAAGGGATCAGTATTCAAGGAAAAGATGCATGGGTATTGCTGTATTTAGTAAACTGTATGCCAAAAACTGAAAAGTCAAATGAGAAACTAAAGAAAAAGAATAAGGAGAGTTTGTAAACTGATGAGCAGTTGGAAAGCTAGTGTGTGCTTAGAGAGATGAGAGAACAGTGGACAGTGAAAGGTACGCCTATATACGCAGGGAAGCTGGGTGCACTTGAGGAAATGTTTTTGGATAGATAAGAAAGCAA